ATTCAATCGTTCATCTTTCGAACAACATCTGCCCATGACTGGTTCTCCATACTCTCACGGTTGATGTATGACGGTTTAGACTCGTCACTATCTGACTCAGGGGAGTCGTCTGTACGACTTCCAACAGAAGACAACCCCTTTCACACGGAAATCACAAAAAACGTCTTGAAACTCAGAAACAATGACTATATATAGACCATATATAGACCAACAACATCACAAGAATGGAATCGTAAATATTCTCTGCTTGCAAAGTATAGACGCACCAATAGTGACTGCAACGTACCGGAAAGCAATAGAAAGTTAGCTTCCTGTGTCAAAACTCAACGAAAGAAGAAAAAAAGACCGAGGCATTCTGTCTCTACTGTGCGATGAGCAAGTTCGAAAATTGAATGAGATTCAATTCCAATGGGGCGGAGGCGATCTGGAACGTGACGTTTGGCACTGGCACGGTCACGTACGGAAAGCCTATGTCGATCGGCACGGTTACGTGCAAAACAGACACGCTCACGAAGAAGATCAATGATGATAGAGCAAAGAAACTGGCTGCATTTGGCTTATTTGAATGCGCTGCATCCCGCCTATTAGTTTATGTCAGTGTGCCCCCGACACTTCCAACTCGCTCCATGCTGTTTGAACGTTTCGTCAAAGTACCTAGTTGGTCGTTGCCGGCCAAACTTGATTGGAACCCTTCTGCATTTACAGATTTTGTTGACGATTCAGATCGATGCTTAGATGCCGTCATCTCGATTCTCCCTTCTTCTTCGTCGCCTTGATTTGGCTCTTCGTATGGGGACGGATCAAAAGTTTCGTCCCATTCATATCCGAGCACAACCTTCTTCATACCTTGTGGAAAAGTGACCGACAATGGCAAGAACCAATGCCATGCGACTTGGTTACTTTCCCCACCAAACATTTCATTGAACTCTTCTGTAACCCTTGATAGCTCGGTCCCAGCTTGTCCTACCTTCATTTTCATTCGTGCGATCTTGCTGGCATTCGTTTTGATAGCTTCGACTTGTTCACAGAGCATGCAACTTGTGAATGAGAAGAAAATCAGACTCACCAGCGTCACCGCGAGTATCATCCAATTGTGATGCCAAAATTCACAGCTTTCTAGTATGTCTTCCGCTGGATCAACAAATGGTGACTTGCATTTCGCTACTCGTGCTACAACCAGAACAACAGACCAGACACAGGAGATCATTGTATAGAACACAAACAGGCAGAACATCTTGTGGTTAAGGGCACCTACAGCGTTGCCAATCCAGGGACAGTGATGGTCAAATTTAACAATACACCTTTACACTTTTGAGGTCGATGCCTTATTTCAGCTGATGCAATAAGAAGAAATCAACTTACCTGCCAGTAACCGAATCATGATGTGCACGGTTCGGTTTGTAGTTGTCATTGCATTTATTGCATCTTCGAATGGCTCGAGAACTCGTCGTATCCCTCAGCGCTCCACTGGGTGCTCGTCTCACTGTGACCAGAGGTCGTGCTCCCATTGGAACTGCTCCAGGGTCTGTTACCCTGATGCTGAAAATGAGTACTTGTGGAAACAACTTTGTATTTCCTCCACGAGGACAACCACTTACCATGCCATATAGAGGGAAGAAAGCGCAAGAATAACAGAAGGAGTGTAGAGAAGCAAAAATATTCCATTTGCAATCAGCGAACCTTCGACGAGGTAGGTAGCAATAACAAGGAAGCAGAAGATGTGAATCGACACCGAGACTGAAGCTCCTATTAGGCCGCAGGGATCCAAGGATCGCCATTTTTGGGCGTTGAAGGTTGTCCCGAATTTTCCTTTACAGATGTCCTTTCTCCCACCCATAATATGGGAGCTTTAGAAAGATGACAAGCGACTCTTGATGATTTGGATATTGAATATTGGTTTCAGTCCATGGGGCAGCGTCACTTTTTTTTTAAAATAAAAGTTTGTGTGCACAATTGGGGGTGACTAAAATGGAGAACCGCAAAGATGGTCATTTTCACCCCTTCTTCATGTTTTTGTTCGAACCATCATGGGAGTACAAGTATCGTGTCTTGTGAAGCTAATCTGCTGGATTACAATAGCTGAGCGGGATGCACTGCACAGGTGATTTTAAATTTCTTTTGAAAAGTTGAGAAACCAGAATTACCTTATCATTATATTTATCCTTTTCCCCAGGTTAGTTTCTTGTGTCCCCAAGATTCAAGATTCTCTATCACCTCCGTTCATTCTGGCAATGTCAGATTGACATTTCCTGTTGCATTCAAAAGTTGAAGGCGTGGGAGATTGACAACTTCAGCTGGGATAACTCCTGAAACAAAAGTGAGAATGCTGTAGAGTGGTGCAGTTTCCAAATTGCTTATACTTACCAACAAATGAGTTATCGCTAATGTCAAGAGTCACGAGATTTGTGAGCTGGAACCGTGAGGTTTTGTTTTAAATCGAGATGGATGAGAGGCGCATGTTTTGAAAGACCTACAACCTGGAATGATGCAAGCCTAACTTACTTCACCAATCTCAACGGGGATTGTTCCGAACATGAAGTTGAAGCCAAGCAGAAGTTCCTCCAAAGAAGTTACACTCCCTATATTCGTGGGTATCGTACTACTCAACCAGTTATCAGATAGATCCAAAGATTCTTTGCAGATTTACAATTAGAGGCATTGTTCAATTGTTGGGAGCAGAAGGGTGTAGCCTCACTACTTACTCAAGGATTGAAACTGGTCCACATCGGCAAGCACACCGTTGAATGTGCAGGCAGCCAGGTCCAGTCTCGCTGATGGAAAACAAAAAGGTCAGTACATGCTCTGTTTGTGGATGGCTGGGGCGCAAGGGTAGCCGAAACTTACCCAAATTTGGCATAGAAGAGAGTGCTCTGAGATTCAATGGGACTGACATGTTGTTGTTTCGAAGACTAAGTGCCACTACGCCATTCAAAGTTAGAAATGCCAATCATAAAAGGATATTCTCCACGGTTCGTACCTAGTGATGTAGATGTGAACTCAGTTGGCAGCAGGTCACCGGTGATGAAGGTGCTGGACAGATCTAAAACTTCTAAAGTGACAAAAGATGCAGTGAGTGAGGGTCACAAACATTGTCCTATTCATGAGCAAAAGTTAAGCAAAAGTTGCTCACCTAATTGCCCCAGATCATTAACCGGTGGAAAAGTGGCGATAAAAGTTGAACTCAGGTCAAGGATACCTGAAGAAAAAGGTAAGAACCCAGCTGAAGTGGCTGCAGGAAAACTACTCAACTCACGCAAGTTGCTCAACGTTGTCAAATTTGGCAGTTCTGGGCCGATGAAGTTATTGGAAAGAGCAATGACTCGAAGGCTCTCTAGACTGGTTATCTGCCCAGGCAAGTTACCCGAAAGATTGTTGTTGTTTATTCGGATTTCCTCTGCGGACTTGAAATTAGACTTTTGACTCAGCTTGTGACGACAGCTGAATCTTCCAATCTTACCTAGTAGAGTGAGTTGTCCAATCTCTGAAGGCAACGACCTGATTTTTTAAAAAAGTTTTTTGAGAACAGATTAGTGAGAAGGAAAAAACTCGAGACTGCACTCTCTCTTGTCTTGATGCTCACCCAGTAAAAGTGTTTCCTGATACATCCAGATTGACCAAGGTCGTCAAACTTCCGAACTCAGTTGGAAACGGCTGGAAATCAAAAGAATTCACACTAATGTCCACGGTTTCTGTAGTGCATAGTTCATTGCATTTGATGAGAGCAGCAGCTGCAAAAAGACAGGCAGTGGTGGATCCATGTCGAAAGTACATACCAAGAGATTTAGATGCAAAAAAGGTCGGGGGGATTGTCCCTGGTACAAACGTAAGACGAATACAGCAAGCCAAACGCATGAACCGAAAACCAGCTACTTACCACTGATGAAATTGGATTTGACTTCAAAGGTTACCAACCTTGATAGTTCGTCAAAGATGTCCGGAAGGCTACCAGTCAGTGTACTGAAACCAGCAGAAAACGTTTCTATTATTTCGAGTTGACTATTCAATGAGAGAATTCATTACTCTAGTAGATAGCAGCTTGCTACGGAACATACCTAGGCTAGTAAGCGCTCGGAATTCGGCGGGGATAGAACCAAAGATACCAGGATTTCTTGAAACAGTAAAGGATCCTGAAAAAAACATGCATTAAGGAATGCAGGGTAACAAAACGAAACACAGCCAGATATTACTTACGCAGGGAGACTAGATTCGACAATTCGTTCGGCAAAGATCCGCTTAGTCGATTTTCTGCCACATCAATAACCTCTTTGATCAAAGAGACATGTGAGTCCAAGGTATTGACAAACAACATATAACCCTCAATTCAAAACTTACCAGCAGATGTTAATGCACCTGCGAATGAATCAAAGATGATTGTAGATATGAGATCAAGAAAAAACAGTTTGAGTGAAACAAACCACCTAGATACTGCATAGCAAAATCTGATAAACTTACCAATTTGGGAGGGCAGTGATCCGGATATCACATTGTTCTGCAGCGTTAGTTCTATAATGTTTGTAAGCTGCCCCACGTCAGCTGGAATCGACCCCCCCAAGCTATTGTTTGAGAGGCGGAGATGTTCAAGAGATTGAAAACCCCAAAGCTCAGGAGGCAAGGACCCTGTAATGTTGTTATTCATTACGTTTAGAGATTCTGAAAATGCATCTTTGATCAGTATCCAATGAAATTGCACAAAACAGGTCACTTTATCTACTCACTCAGTCGAACCAGCCCTCGAATTTCCGATGCAATTTCGCCGGCCATTACATTTGATTCTATTTCGATTTCTTCAACATGAGTTTGAGTTTCGTCACAAGTGAGTCCAAACCATGGTATTTCAACCCCCCCTCCGCAAGGATGACTACTAGTAGCCCATGCTGTGCTAGTTTCCCATTTGTTTCCTCCGGTAGCAAAGTAAAACGTGACGAGAGAGTATCGTTCCAGAATCTCAATTCTATCGATCGGATTCACTGGGTCCAAGTCAGCGTTTATTTCACTCAAGGTCCTGTAAGCCCTATTCTGTGGGGTTCCTTTTGTTGTCAGTGAAGCATCGGTGGTAAGTGTCTGTGCAAGCAAGTCCCGAAGCGGGATATTCTCAACGAAATCGTCAACTGAGGGTTGAAAGCTCGGTTCCGACGAAGGCACTTTTGACGGCCTCTCTGATGGCACCATTGATACTGTGGGCGTGACTTCAGATCCTGATGGAGATGCTGATTGAGTTATGCGAGGAATCGCAGAGGGAATTAATGATGGGTGTACTGAAATCGTAGGAGCACCTGATGGTTTCTTCGATGGGACTATCGAAGGAAACATGGAAGGGGAAATTGTCGGGAAAGACGATGGGCGCGGTGTGATAGGCGTAGCTAATGTCGGTCGAACAAAAACATTCCGTTCTAGTGGTTCCCTATGATGCCTAACTAATGAAGCTTCGTTTTGCAAATCCAGTAGGTTGCGTATTACATTTCCATCAGACCCTCCTTGTGAAAGAGGCAATTCGTCATTCGCTCTCTGGCAGGAGCATATCCCTGAAGCGGCGACATGGACAAGTGCCAAGAAACTCCATCTCGCCATTGCTGTTCTCCCAATATGATCTTGACTGAAATGCAGTTGTTGAAGAAGAAAGAGGATGCTGAATGTACAGTTTGAGTGAGTCTTGGTCGAACGAGTCTTGCAGACTTTTCTTCGACAATTTTTCCGCACGAAGCGTTTGAAAGTAGCCGGCGGGGGCAAGAGTGCGAGTCAGCAGGGGAAAACAAAAGGGGAAACAGAGACTGCTAACGTATGCCCCGCATACGTTAGAGAGAAACCAGAATCCTAACATAACAGTAACCACGACAGAGCAGTAATACTTCGTCCGCATATGCCAATCTAGATACTGTACTTTTACTTCACATTACAACTGCCGGTAGGTTTGCAGACGAGTGATAAACAATAACAAATAATCCCCTTTATATGCCGTCTGCTGGTTGTCCATCTCTTCAATTTGGACTATTTCTGTTCTTCCTCCTCGTAGCTTTTTTCAAAATACTTACATCAAAAACAAACTTTGATTTCTGAAACCATTGACTTAACGTGCTATCGTTGTGCTCCTGGCTCTCATCGTAGAGAGAGCGTACTAGTGCATTGATGTAGCTACTGTTGGACATGATAGACGGTGATTGATATTGCTATTGAGGTGTATTTACGGGGGTCTGAAGCAGCTGTGAGTAGATGATGGATGATTGATCTTGGGCTGAATATTCGGCGATGACCGTTGGCCTTCGATCGCTCTAATACATCTGCTCGGGACTCGACAGTCCTTCTATTTAGGCGACTCTGTTGTAACGTCTCACCTTGGTCTGTTTTCACCTCCCTCTTCTTGATGAATGGCTGCTGGCACCGAACAAGGTAGCCAAAGAAAAATCGCCATCTAACCTTCAATTGCAAATCGGGCTGCAGGATTCTCTCCAACGTCCAGGTTGCTGGCAAGCGGCTTCAAGTGTCTGACAGTTGCGTCCAGGTCCAAAGTTTGACTAGGTGCTTCGCGGTATGACGGTCAGAACGGGAGGATCAGTCCTCATCTTAGTTGTTGTACACATGTATTTTGGGGGGTTGGGTAAGGGGGTTGCTATATCTGGTCCTTTGTCTTTGGGGCTTTGTGTTCCTGCTACTCTGCCAGTCATGACTTGTACTGCATGCTGCGACATGCAGTAGTTTGTTGATGGCGGCTTTTTGTTGGGTCAACTTGTACTGTGGTCTGCTGCAACAGATTGTCGTAACTTTTGGGTCTGGGGCTTGGGTCAACTTGTTCAGGGCTATCTAGGGGCTATCGTGGGTCATCCTCTTTGGGTCAGCGTTGGGGCTTTCAGGGTGTATACTGTCTGTAGGCTTTGTTTGTTTTGGGTCTACTCTTTTGTTTTTGTTAGCTGTGTTTATCATTTGTGTCGCGCTCGTTTGTGGGCTCTACCTGGTGGTGTTGACTTGGGCGTGATGTTGGCAACTTTTAGTTTCATCTGTGTTGCCGCCTCTCTCACTTTTTCCCACACCACGTCCGGTATTTTGTAATCTCGTTCAAAGTCGAATGGTCCGTATACGCCGTCTTCAACGATGTTGACCTCTTTCTGGAACCAGGCGTATTTGTGCGGGCTCTTGTTTAGCACCTGGTCTACTTTGCTGTGTCTGATGGGTACTGTTGGGCCGTATGTTGTCTCGTCGGTGAATTCTTTGATTAGGGGCCAAAAGGGGCTGGTCATTGGGGAGCCTTGCTTTGTAGTGGTGAGTTTTGGTATGTACCACTCCTTGCAGTGATACTGTCCTTTTGTTCTTGCTAGTTTCTCGTTGGTCTCCTCCATGTTGATTTGTATCACGTACCAGTTGTTCCACCCTGATGTGTTGTCTTGATGGGCTATGACGTATAATTTGTCCTTGGATTGTGTGGTTCGTTCGTATAAGCTCCGTAGATTGAGTTCTTCTGTGATGGTTTCTGTGGTATGGACCTGTCTGGTTTGGTTGGCTCCTTCTGTATCTGTTGGTGGTATGTCTCTGTTAATCGGCCGAGGCTGCGTGCGTTGGATAGCGTCCAGTATGGATGGTGTAGGGGTGTTGTCTTCTTCTTCGTCTGATGAATCTTCCATTGGATCAACTTCTTCGTCCCAAATGTTTTTGATTGGCTCAAATGCGTTTTCTGTGTCTGTCGGTGTTGTCGCGTATTTACCAAAATCAACCAGTCCTAGATTCATTTCCAGGGGGCTGTGTGCTAGCAGGCTCCTCATGTTTGCTAGTCTTGTATCTGGTGTGTCCACTCCTTTGTGTAGTATTGTCGTCGATGGGATCTTGTGCATTCTGAATGCTGATTCTTTGATTGGGGTTGACCCTCGCTTCTTTAGCATGGTGCTTGTCCCTGGGATCTTTTGTAGTCTGTACGAGTCTTCTGACGCTTTCTCGATGAATCTATAGGGTCCTTTTGTTCTTAGCACCAGTTTTGCTGGTATTCCTGCAGAGGCGTTTGATTGTACTTGTTTCCGCACCATAACAATGTCTCCAATGTCAAATTTCCGTCGCGTTCTGGTTTGATTCTTGAGCATTCGATGGTGTTCCCTTTGTTCCTCATTGAGAAGTTTAAGCAGTTCTTTTTGTCTCCAGAAGAGTGGGAACATTGTCTCAATGTGCTCTAATGTGTTCTGTCCTGGCAGTTGCTGGTGTCGTGTCCTGTTTTTCTGACGCGCCTCCGATATTGACAATGCCGCTGCTGCGTTGTCTAGTGGGAATTTGAAGTGTCGGGCCACTGCTGCGAATGCTCGTTGGATATCCGTGTCATCTACTGGGGCTGCGTTCCATGCGTATGTTCCAAACAAGGTGTTCATTGCCCATTCTTCGTATGTGTTCATGTCGGCTGCTCCGATTTGTTGCACTTTGTTGAGGTATTTGTGGAATCTTTCACATAGTATTCCGTCGTGGTTTTCTGGACTGACCGTGTGGTATGCGATTCCGATCGTGTCGCATAGGGCTGTAAATTGATCTTTGTTTTCGCTGCCTTCGTCGATGAGGATCAATCGTGGCAGGCCTCTGACGGTGAAGAATTGCAAGAATGCTATTCTGGCCATGTTCCCTGAGTTCATGGAGCTGATGAATGCGACTGTCATGTTGCAAACGTAAGTGACTACTCCTTTGTTTGTGAGTGTCTTCGTCAAAGTTGTGGACAGTTTGGTAGCGTTCTTTGTTGATCCTGGCGACCAAACGTCCATGCAATATACGTCAAACGGTTCTTCTATTGGGGTCTGTTGTAGAATCTTTTGGTTTTTGTGGCTCGAGGCGTAGGCTGCATTGCAATGTCCGCATCCTAGGACTGCTTCTCTGATATCCTTTGCCATCCCGGGCCACCAAAACCTCGCGGCTATCCTGTAATACGTCTTGTGGAACCCTACGTGTCCTGCCATTGGTGATGCATGGTATGCTGCTATGATTGTGGCTCTGAATCTTGGTGGGACGACCGCTCGTCGCAGCTGACGCATTGCCTTGGTGCCGACTTCGGTTCTTCTAATTGGTATAGGATGCCGTTTTCAATCTCTAGCTTATCTCTGTTGAGTTCTGAGGCATACGTTGGGTTTGTGAGCTTTGATCTGTCTACCTTTTTGTGGTTGCGGATTGCCTTGATGATGTGGCTGATGTCTGGGTCTCCGTTGCATTTCTCTCGCCAGTCTTCTCCTGTTGGGATCGGTAGTGTTGTGAATGGGTTGATGGATCTGCTGACTATCGCTGTTAGGTGTTTCTTAGCATGTTTGTGTTCTGTTTTGTCTGATAGGTGTTGTCGCTGAATGTTTTTGCACATGCTGTAAGTGAACACTTGCTGCCACACCTGTTGTGGTGCCATGCTCTTCATTGTCTCTTTTGTCTCTCTCCGACTGAGTTTCTCCTCAAACAACAGTTTTCTGCTGTCCTCTTTTGTGAAACCAAACAGGCTGAGGGCTTCCCAAGGTCTGATCGTTCAGACCGGTGATGTTACCTCTGCGTCGTTGGTTGTGATTGCTATTGTGCCTTGCGCTGAGATCATGGGTGTTGTGTGGAAGCTGGGGGAGATTTTGGTGGTATCGTAGATCTCATGTTCTTGTGTGTGTCCTTGTGAGTAGACCGTGTGGACTCTGTTTTGTCCTAGCCTTGCCACGTTGAAATATCCCGTGTAGCTTTCGTTTGGTGCGTCCATAGAGTTTTCGATTGTTCCTGGCTGTGCGTATGGATCTTCATCGACTAAACTTCTGCTCCATGCCTCCGTCACTCTTCTCCCGGCTGTGAGTATGATGGTGTGTTCGGTGTCTATGTCTGCTTGTGCTGTGCTGCCTCTGGCTGTGCGTGTCGCGGTTTGTAGGTCGATTCTGTCTCTGGTTTCTCTTTTGATGTATTGTTCCCATTCGTCGACGATCTTGTCGGGTGGCTTTCCTGTCCACATGAGTATGCATTGTGTTGCTCCCTGTGTCGTTGCTTTTCTGATGATGGTGCGAAGGGCCTCCGAGGTTGTTGAGTTGTATTTTTCCATGTTGGTTACAATCAACCATTCTACTGGCGGTTGTGCTGTGTTGTTGACCAGCCTTTTGGCAAACGTTTCAATGTTTGGTATGTCGTGTTGTAGCTGCCAATATTCCTCCTCGCTGGTGCTAGCAGTTAGCATGATGGTTCCTCCAAGTAGTTCGAAGCTGTCCACAATGGTGTCTAGGGATCTTCCAATGATCCATGTTGCTCTTGCTGTGTCGCATATTTGCGCTAGTTCTGTTTGTGTTGTAATCCGGTCGCCTTTCACAGTGGATAGTAGGTGCTGTCTGGGCCAGGGCGGTGCTTCGTCTTCTCTGAGTTTCCATGCCGCCGCAATGATCGGGTTGTCTATGTGGGCTTCTTCCGTATTCCTCCACGTGCTTAGTATGCCCTCGTATCTTGACAAGAGGTCGCATTCTGTGAGCATCTTTGCTGGTCTGTGAACTATAGTGAAGATGAATGCCAATAGCTCTAGTTTCCATTGTTGCAGTGTGTGTGTGATGTCGTATTCGCCTTTGAAGAACTTGGTTAGTCCGCTGCAGTCCGTGATCCACGTAAATTCTTTTCCGATGAGCCATTGTCGGAACTTCTTCATCGCCCATCGACCTGTTGCTGCTTCTCCTACAAAGGAATGGTAGTCGCGCTCTTTGCCCTTGCATATTCTCGATATGAATGCTATGGGTCTGAGTCTGAGTTTTGACATTGATTTGTCAAACTCGCATTTTCCTCCTTTGATCTCTTTTCTCATTGACTCTTCTGCTTCTTCTGTCGTGTCCGCTTGTAGGAGGACCGCTCCCATGGCGTTGCTTGACCAGTCCGTTTTCAAGTAGAATCGTCTCTTTGGATTGAGTCTCTTCAATATTGGTCCTGTGACAATAGCTTGCTTGAGTTTGTCCAGCGTTTCGTCGTCCTGTGGCTCCCATTGTGCTTTCACTTGTTCTGCTTCCTCTTCTTTTGTGCATTCTCCGGGCTTTGGTTTGTCCACCACCATGGTCCTACATTGTTGGATCTTTTCCTCTAGATGTGGTATCCATTGGGAGTACCATCCAAATAGTCCGTTGATCATCTGGATGTGTCATGGGCAAAGAAGAAATGTGATATATATATATAAAACCAGGTGAAACTTGTTGTCGCTGGGTCATTGGTTCCGCTTTTATTTACTGTATTGAACAGATATGCATGACCCGTGATCTCTTGTAGGTCAGCGCAATGGATGTAGATCCTTTTCTTTCCACCAGCAGGTAGTGGGGGCTTTCGGTGCATATATGGGGATCGTGTATGCAGAGAGAGTCACCAGAGGTTTGAGAAGATGAAAGACGCCAGGGGTGCTTTTTCACAGTCCCAGCTGATGTAGGAAGTCACAAAGGAGCAAAAGGGGGCGGAAGAGCAAGATGGGCATCATTTTCAGCTGAGAGAATAATAATAATAATAATAATAATAATAATAATAATAATAATAATAATAGTAACTGAAACATTAATCGATTAAATGCTATCTAGTAGCGGCAAGTTAACAACAAGTTTGAACCATGAGAGGCATCTGACAAACAGAAGTTGCTCTAGTCAGAACCAGTGGGTCTGGACTCTTCCACAAAACAGTGGTTAGGGGACTTGGTCCTTAGGATGAAAGAAGCAATGGAGAATGCGGCATTGAGGCACCAGAGCACGGCGGTAGGCCGTGTGTTCCATTTCCACCAGCTTTCGCCACTCCTCCAAATCTACCGAGGGTTTGTTCAGTACTGCCCGGCGCTTGACCAAGAGCATGCGCTGGGCAACCTTTGGAAGGTTGGTTGGGCCCATATTGAACTGGGATGAATCCCGTCGTTGACCTGTCGGCTGTGCTCATGTAGCTGCATATTATCCTCCAAGTGTTGCACCAAGTTCCAATGTTCCCACATCTGGAACCCATCAAGATCAGCTGGTGCGATAGACGAGAAACCCACAGAGTGGGAGAGCTGCCTCCCATGCAACTGTAGGTATTCTTCCTGCAAGGGGCCCATTGACGAGACAGCCGTCCTTCAAAGAGTCCTTGGTAGCCAATGCATTGTTGAGAGCGGAAGGCCCTACAGAGGCGGCCAGGGACACCCCGTAGGGAAGGAAGGGATGGATCACGGACACCTTGGATATGGAGGAGGATGGCATGTTTGATGGCCAGGTTGGTCACTTGGGTGTCCAACAAGCATTGGTCCAGGGCATTTGCAGCCAAGAGACGGAATATGATCGAAACGTATGTAAGTGGAAAACCTATTCCGAATGATCAATACTTTGTTGTGATGCTGGATTTTTCACCAACCATTCTGAAGTCCAAAGGATTACACATACTGCTGGCTTTTAAGGAAAGGTCTAGCGGCAAGTTGTAAGAATTGTTAGCCCCAAAGTATCCTTTGGTAGATATGCTGCAAGATGTGAGGGAAACTGAAAAGGCCATCAGTGGAAGGCCTGTTTACATTGCAGCATCAAAGAAAAGTACCCAAGAGATCGTTTGGCTTTTTGTTGGGGGCGGAACAAAGATGACTTAATTGGAAAAGAAACAGATGAGGGACTTTTTTCATTTCATGAAAAGATAGATCAAGAATGGAAGGCAATGCCCATAGGAAAAGGAAGCATGATTGGAACAAAATGGATTCTTCCACAAATTTCTGGTGGAGAAAGTAGAGGCATCAGCTCATCAGGACATTGAAGGTAAAGCATTGTTGCAGTAACCTAGAAAACAGCATATGACTAAGAGAACATATGTAGCAACGAAGATTGCCTCAAGGTTAGAATGGAGACATGCATTGTTACTTTTACTTTTTATTGTACCATATCTGTGTTTGGATAGTTGTTCTTTTGTGGGAAGAGGCGACGCATGCTCCGCGTTGTTCCTCTTTTGTGCGATTGTCTCTGGCACATCCCCCAAAACCGTCAGCTTTGCCCTTCTCCATTGTCTTCCTGTTCATCCACACAACACAGACAATTTGCAGAATACAATGAGGAGTCTAACTGCCAATGGGCAGACTCGATTCAATATGTATGAAATCAATATCTGATTGACAGCAAATCACAGCCTAGACATGGAGTTCCATAGCAGCTAGCAAAGGGAGACGCTGCCTTGTGTGACACTCAACAAATGAAAACAACCCAAAACACTCCTAAAAAAAGATTCCAACAGCCAAGAAGATTGCATTGACTTCCTATGCGCAGGCAGGGCACAGACAAGCGCCGTTTTGGATAGAATCGCTGCCTAGCAGTTGTGAATTGCCAAACGAATTGGTGCTACAAAGACACTGTTATTATGGCAAAAAAACATCATCGACGATGTTGTTTTGTTTTTGTCACACAAGTCAATGGCACAGACGGACAGACAGTCCATAATAGTTATAGAATGCAAAAATTCCCAACGTGACAACTTATACCCTAACCAGAAACCTTCCCGGGAGCAAATCTTCCAAGATCAGAAAGTACCATGCGCCCGTGGGGATCCACGTTTTTTGTGTACGTTTATTACGGCGCACCTCGTAGAAAAGCGGCTCGCTGCAAAACTTTCTGGAATCGGTACCGTAAACTTATACCGATTAAAGTTTTAATAAACAAAAGATCTACCTGTAATGTTGGCCCCCTACAATCGTGGGTCATGTCGCCATTTGCAATTTGTCACTTTCCTTCTGTACGCAACAATGGTGCTGCCTCCCAATCAGAAAATAGACTTCCGTTCCATGGATTGCTGGAGAGCTCTCTGCGGGTACCACACAAAGTTCCTGAATGCAGAATAAGAGTTTTCGTGCTGTACTTGATTTGGGGTTTCATTCAAGTAGAGTGAATGGACAAGTAAGAAAACCTAGATGGTGGTGTTTGATGTGTGATGGTAGCCAAAAGAAATGAAAAGAGCAATCGCTATCGATCTTTGTAGATGACAAAACCACTTGTTTCTCCCCTCCTTGTTGGAGTATATCTTTTTCTTTGGTCTTGATCCATTTCGTCCATATGAGTGTCCAAAACATCCTTTATCCCTACCCACAGTTGTTTCCGCAACTTATTTGTCTGTGATCTATTCCCATTTTGTCCCTTCTGCGTCGCTCTTCCGTAAGCCAGGGAATTTAGAAGAACAAGGTCCAGTGCCTGCAGCAAGTCCTTGCCACGCCACATATTCCAAGAAGAAAGCCCTTGTGCAACAAGCTGACCAGTATTGCCTACAAGTGACTTGTTTGCCGCTTCCGAATCGTCCAACAGTGCAGATACAACATCTCGAAAGCACAATGGGTGCTTTACTACATGTGCATAAGAGGGGGTTTGAGTGTGATCCACCGCATCCACAAAGTCTGCTGAATCGGGACTTTTCAACAGCTCTGAAAACAAACGCAAAACACAGGCATATTTCTCTGCTCCATCCCAGAAGGCTTCCAATGGGATGTTGTTTGGACGTATCGTCCAGTGCTGATTGCTGTCAAACATCGAAGCCAGTTCGTCCAAGTTTCGAGCCAAGCCGAGGGCATTCCTCTGCTCGAATGGGGAAGAATCAAATAAACCCTGATTGAAAAAGTCAGTGGAGACGTCATTTTCGACACTTCGCCAAAGCTTTATGAAATCAGCATCATCTGAGTCACCCTCAAAGGTGGTTTTGCTACGTTTCGCTGCTGGCTTGATGTCAAGAATTTCTACAACAAAGTCTTCCTCGGACGTTTTCGCTACAGCATCCAGTGCATAGTCCGTATCAGCCTTGGCTTCCATTTTGCGCTTCTTGTGGGTACTGGTCTGTGTTGGAGCGCTGGACTTGATTGCTTCCAACTCATCATCATCATCGATGCAGATTACATCATCATCTTCGGGGTCAAAATCCGACATTCCTCGCAAAGCGGATTCGAGCCTGTGGAAGAAAGGGAGATAAGGGTGCGCCGAACTCTGTTCCTGGTAAGAGGGAGGGACCTCGGATTTCAACCGTTTTAAAGCTTGCGACGCCGTCGGCCGGAGCCGTTCACCGAGCTTCCGTGTTGTATCGAATGATCTATCCAACTTTTGGCAAGAGTTTAGAATGCATTCAAAATCGTTGCAAATCTGCAAAGCACCACCATGTTTTGACAGCCACTTCCGCAACCCCCAGGACTCTCCATCCTTCATTCCACCAAGGAATGTGTTCTTGACAGCCTCACATCCCTGATTTTGCACCGCATGTGCATTTTCGCAAAGTTTTTGAAGTTCCTTGAATGCTGCTTCGAGATTTTGTGAAGCCATGAGTCCTTTGTTCTTTTGGAAGAACTTGGTTGGTAATGTTGCGATGTATATTCGATAGAATTGGTTTGGAGTCATTGAATCTCGAAACATTTGTTGAACTACGTTTTTCCTCGTTGCCAGGGCTAATCCCTTGCGCAGTTCCTGCTGGCATTGTACCAAAAAGTCTACACATGGTAGGTATCGCGTTGCTACCTCGTTAGCACGAGATTGAATTCTACTCACAATCGCTGTTCCCTTCATGGGCTCCAATGAAATCCCTGAAACGGTGAACTCAAGCCTCTCCAGCCAGACCTCATCGCCATGATCAACAGAAATTGGACTAGACTTTGGGGCAAACATGTCTTTCAAAGCAGTACCAGGAACAAGGCTTGTTGTAAAGACAGTTTGATGATGAACAACTGTATTGGTAGCAACGACGGTGTGTGGTGGATTGAGACGCTGTAAAGCAGCATTTCCTATCGGCAACGGCTCAAAATCTGTTATACATTGCATCTTCTGCATGCCTGCAGTTTTTGAAGGTGTTGATAGCGTTGCGGTGCCGGTTGTTGAGGGCAAAAGAGTTTGATGAGGCCGAGATGGCACTCGCCTACCAGTGGTAGCCGTAGGAGTAAAGGTCGAAGGGTTCAACCTGGACGGATCATAATCTTCCATACATGGTCCATTTGGATTCAAATAGTGACGTCTTTGTTGCTGTATACATGAGGCTGTTCTATTAGTTGCTTGGTATCGGTTTCCATATGACTCCATGTCGAAAGTGGCACTATATCGATCTGCCATGCTTGTCCGAAGCTTCTCTGCAATATCTTGTTTGTTGGGTCCACTTTTGTTTCAATGTAATGGGACTGATTGAATACTGGAGTCACAGTCTCGAGGCTGTTTCCTTGTCTCAGTAGTTTTGACGGCGGTACTATTGTTCGGCAATACAGTATGTCTCCATAGAATTCTACGTCTTGCGCGGACGCCGGACAGAAAATATAACATGGTCAAACAGTGGGATTATCCCCAAAAAGACATGTTGGGATTTTGATTTTTTCAGGGTTTCCAATGGGGGTACACGTACATACCACGAGCGCCAATTTTTATCTACAAGACGGGGTAATTTTCATAAATAGGGGCAAGGGGACAGACGGGGTGTCATCGCTTCTCAAGCGGGTTGAAAGGCCAAACAAATTGTGAAAAAAAATAACGGTCATGTCACCTGCATGAAATGAAAAAAGCTCGACCCGAATTTGGATACTAATCCTACGGATTACCAGGCGCCGCCTCCACTTCATGACTCGATGTCTAGCGTGATTGGCCTAGGATGATTGCATACTACGAATTTGTACCAAACGAGATTATGCCAGTCCTCCATACGTAAGTAAGAGATGTAGGTTTGGCATCGTAAGCTTGGTAACTAGAATTAGGGACCGGATTTGGAAACGGGAATCGAAGATTCGACTCAATGGACTCAAACGTGACACAAATTTGGGACCTGGATGGTACCGAGCATTTGGTGCAGAAGAGATAAATCAGGAACCGGGTGGGATGGTGGGAAAAAAAGATATAATCGTTCTGAACTGTTTCAGATGATCGTGGTTCCTTAGCTCTCCATCGTCTCATCTTGCACTTGGCAAAAAGAATGCTTCTGTTCACGCCTTCGTTTGCCATGCCAATCGTCCCCGAATTTTCGTCCAATGAATTACCGTTACTTATCTTAAGCGACTGACGACATGACTGTTGGCGTGAAGACAGGAGTCTTCTCTTGCCAGTCCGTCTACCGTCTTGCCAATGGGTTGTTGCTTTTCGTCAATTGGTAGGATTTCTACGGCGGAGATGGAAATTGAAAGGTACTATTTTAGCAATGAATTGTTGACACAGCCTACCAGACCATATATTTCTACGGATTTTCTACAGCGTGTTTTCAAAAACTGAGGCGCGGAGCTGTACTGTACTGCACAGTACTTTTCCAGATCCAAACTCTATAAAAAATCTTGTCACGCAACACCATGACCACCGAGACCGCCAATAACAACCCAACAATGGCTACAAATGCCACCTCCGCAAAATCACAAGGTAAGGGGAAAATGATTTTGACCAATGAAGACATTGAATTTCTAGCTGGATTGCTTGAAGCTGCCCCCCTTCCCCCATTGGAGAACGTCATCCCCCTGAGATTTTCTGAGTACGTTTGAGTTATAACTCACACGTTTGAGTTATAACTCACACGTCTGAGTTATAACTCACATGTCTGAGTTATAACTCACACGTTTGAGTTATAACTCAACGCCGTGAGTTACAACTCAGGGATACCCCGCAGTTTGTCCTAGATCCGGGTTTCTATTATTTCTTTTTAGTCCGTGTGGTCATTTTCACCCTTTTCTGCATTAGTCTCTCATGATGAAATTGACTTAGGGCAAATTAAAAGCGA